AAAGTAAATTGTTGTTTTCTACTAAATTTAAATCTGAATAACGTTATTCTTGTTTCATTGCTTATGTTCAATCTGTCTACAATCTACAGGGTTTCTTCGCAGCAGAAGGGAAAAGAGGAAGGAAAAAAAGGCGAAGAAGAAGAAGGATATTATAGAAACAAGCAGTAACAAAGAAGAAAAGTCTGACCTGTCAGTATAAAAATGTTCAGCAGACCCGGTGCATATAAAAACAAGAATGAATCATATATTTGTTTAGTATTTACATTTATATTTAAACTGATCTAAATGTGTTCATTTATCTTCTTGAACTTCACTTTTCTCATTCATGACTTCATTAAATATTTTACTTGTTTCTATTCATGATATAAATTCATAATTAAAAGATAATGTGTGTGTGTGTATGTGTGTATGAATACACAAGGACAAGAAAGAAATAGAGTTGATTTTTTCATAATTGCACTGGGCCTGCTGGAAAATGTAATTGAATAAATGATTAATAAAATTTGCATATTAAATGATATAGGGAAGATAAAGAAGATAGTAGAAAATCTGAAACACCAACGCCAGAAGTAGACGAAGATGGATTTTGTATCAGACCAAAGCCTGATCCTTGGGAAAACGAGAAAGGATTTTATTCTAGTTCGGATACAGATTCGGAGGATGAAAGGGAAAGGAAAATACGAGTTGAGATCAAACCTCTTAGTAATGGAGCAGCACCGATGAGTGCAAGTGTCGATGAATTAAGAGCAACAGTTGAAAATTTATCTTTGTCACCTGCCCCAACAGTGAGTTTTATATTTACAATCTAACCCTTTTTTCAATCATGTTGTTTTTTCTTTTTTTGAAAACCCTCCGGTATGCAAACGGTTAAATTATATTATATAAATAAAATAAGACAAATAAAATGGTACATATCTCTAATACAACATCTAAATTGGATGTCTTTATATATGATTACATCGTTGATTTGTAATGACTCTTTATTATATACTAGGGACGTAGAGGTTCCAACACTGATTCAGATCATCACATGAAGAGGTCTCAATCAGTATCTCAACAGCTAGGAGGCAAGCCAAGCTCGGATTTACTGGGCCTAAATTTATTTAATCCCAGCAGTACGCCATCCAGTGCCTCTACTCCAACCGGAAGTCATCCTTATGCACCCTTACAAAGTCCACCGCCTCTTTCTTCATCTCCAATACCACAACAACCGCAACCTCCTCAATCTGCGCCACCATTACATCAACATACACGTTTCCAAGGTTTGTTTTTTTTTATTTAATACAATTCATATAATATATTTTATTACGATCAATGACATTTTGTAATATAAATCTTATATTGTTTTTTTTTCTGTTGTTACAGATGGCGATTTATTCTCAGAAGTTGGTGACATTACACCAACTTTACCACCTAAACAATCCGCATCTTCAACGCCTACAGGATCTATCATTATTCCTAGACCGCCATCTCGAAAAGGTGAAGGACCATCCCCAAGAGGAAGAAATTCACCTGCTCCTATATCCAGAGCTGATAGTGTTGCCAGTTTAGAATTTCGTACAGCAGGAGTTGGAGTAGGATCTTCTAGAGGACCTTCACCGTTAACTATTGGCCTTGCCGATACCATTCCACTAGCTGTGGCGTTTCATGAAATAGTTCATTCCTATTTTAAAGGCACTGACGAAACTCGATGCCAAGTCAAACTCAGCGGTGACATGATGTTGTCTTTTCCTGCTGGTATTGTTGCGGTATTAGCAAATAATCCAAGTCCAGCTAAGCTTACTTTCCGCGTGAGAAATAGCAACAGACTTGAAAGATTACTTCCTAATAGCCAACTCGTCAGCATGTAAGTAAGTCATGGTTTATAACGATAAGAATATTTCTTATTATTATTATTATTATTATTATTATTTTTATGTGCATTCAATTGTTCTGATAATTATTATTTATAAATAATTTCTTCTTATCTTTTTTTTTTCTTTTTTTAGGGATGCAACTCAAACTACCGTTGATAGTACAATTTTCGAGTTTAATATGAGTGCCTTAACTACGTTGTTGCGACGACAGGCAGAACAAAATCCGTCGGCCTCCTATTTTAATGTAGATATATTGAAGTATCAAATTAAATGTAAAGAAGGCGCGGGTTCCTGTCCCTTTCAATTAGTTGCATATTGGAAATGTGAATCTACTCATACCGATCTAAAGGTATTTATTATAAGTATAATTTAGAAATATTGACAAATTTATTAAATACTGATTTATATATATATATATTTCTTTTTAGATCGATTATAAATATAATAGCCGTGCAATGGCCTCACCAAGTCCACTGTTAAATCTTCACGTAGCAGCACCTATCGATGGTGGCTTTAAGACTCTTAATAGTAAACCTACAGCCCAATGGCTCGCAGATACAAATCGCGTATTATGGAAATTTACTGAATTGTCCCAACATAGCGAAGGTAATGGTGTGGGTTCTTTAAAAGCAAGAGTTGAACTTGAACGTGGACCAGGTACTCAGGGAACTATATTTACTCAATTTAATTGCGAGGGGACCACACTGTCAGGTGTTGAATTTGAACTTTTAGGTCCTGGTTATAGACTAAGTTTAGTAAAACGCAGATTTGTATCTGGTAAGTGCAATTATCTTGTTTCTGTAAATAATATTCATTCATTTATAACATCCAAAATATAGATAGAGATAGGTAGATACATTTTACTAATTCCCCGAAGGGTTACACTCCTTTTACAATTATAATCCTTAACCTATCTTAACACTACTCTCTCCTTTGCTTCTCCTTTTCCCCTACCCTAGTCCCACAACCCCACTTCTACCTCCATCACTCCCAACCTTGTTCCTCCTTCCCTATAAGAGAGGAGAACCCTCTCATTCAAAATCTCTTTCATCTTTTCTTCTATTCCTCTCCCGTCCTCCTCACCTATCGTTCTGATGCAACCTTCCAACAGATGCTCGTCCCACGTCTCTCTCTCTCTCACCCACACACCCTGCATCCTCCTCCTCCTCCCTTCCCTCATCTCATTCCCTAATCTGCCACCTCTCCTGCCACCTTTTTTCCTCCTTCTCAATCTCTTCTCAACTCTCAACAACCTCCTCCTCTCTGAACATCCAAAATATATATGTATACTAATTAATTATTTATTAACTTGTTGTATATATGTATATATAGAAAATTGTTATAATTATAGGAAAATATATATGTGATGGAGATTCAGATGCACGTACAAGATATGCTGCACCACCACCATCCAACGCTGTCTGACAATTTCCAGAATGGATAGCTCAGTGGGGAAAGCAACCGATTTAATATTGGTATTTGCTTATTCACTCACTGCCTACTTTCAGGGCATATTTCACAAAGTTAAAACTTTAAATTAACGCGAAAGAAATTGTGTTGAATATCAAAATAATTATACACATGTGATGATATAATTCTACAAAAAAATAAATAAATAAATGAAAGAATTTTTTATTTCTTTTGACAATTATTGTCTTCATATTTTTTTTCATTTTCTTTAATTGTTTTCTTTTTGACTTCTTTTCTTTTCTTTTCTTTTCTTTTATGTTGTACAAGGATATAATATATAAAACATAAAATAATTATGTTGAATTTTTTGTTTTAAATAATGAAAGAGAACAAATATTTGTGGTTACATGTGTAAGCTTTTTGGATATTCAATACATTACATTCGCAGCAATACTCGCCAGTGTTTTAATCTCTTTTCATAATCAAAATATCTAATATGAATGTTTTTACATGAAGGCTCAACTAAAAAGAAAGAAAGAAAAAAAACAAAACAAAACAGCAGTATAAAACTATTTTTATCTTATTAAATATTTTTCGTTAATTTGTTTTCTTCGTAGAGACATTACATTATTACATTTAATTACATGAGAGATACTACACGTTTAGAAATTTTAAAAATAAAAACGAAATATTTGTATACTTAGCAGGAAAGGTGTATATACACACATCATACATACATATACATACATATATATATATATATACTCGAATATAATTTTCAATAGAAAAAAAAAAACAAAAAAAACAAAGAAATTATAATTGTGTACAGAAAAACAAAAAGCTTTTGTGCAAAAGAAAAGAAAAGAAAAAAAACAACTCGTTTATAAGAATAAATAATAATTCTCATTTTATGGACTACAAACGATGACATAATAATTACATAAAAATGGTCATTTTTTGTTGTAAAACTTGTTAAAAATTGTGTCGTGCGTCGTTTATTAATTCTAAGGATGAAAAAAATCTGGATACAAAAAAAAAAAAAGGTTTAGATAAAAGTATATAATATTATTCACTTGAAAAATGATGATAGGATTTAATTGATGATTACTAATTTAATAATTAAATGGAATAGCTTTAATGATATAATACATCTTTACCATATGCAGTTTGATAAGTAAAGAATAATTTGTAAAAAAAAAAAAAAGGTTTAAAGATGAAAATTTAATGTTTATGCAAGAACCAAAGGTTTATCATTTCTTTTAAACACACAGTTTCAATTTTAAGAAATTTTCTTCTTAATAATATTTAAGTTTACAAATGGTCTTCAATATTAATCTTTATTATTATTATTATTATTATTATTATTATTATTATTTCACGAGATACATATAACTATATATATATATATATATATATTGAAATAGATTTTTTTATATATCATTAACCATGGTAATAAACCAACGTTTCATTTCCCAAATAATTATCTCAAGTATTACTTTTGCATTTATGCTGAAATCACTTGCCTATACTTGCCTTCCATAATTATATAATACAGTTACACACACATTACAGTTCAATTCAATTTTAAGTTTAATTTCTTTAAATGAAAGAAATGTTTCAATTATATGAAATTATCATTTTGTTCAAACAACTATATAGATGATACTTACAATTATTTACACTCATATATATATATATACAAAATAACAACAAAATAATTTTAAGCAGATTCAAATTTCGTATTGTTTTTTTTTTTTATTATCAAAACTAATTTAGATCAATAATATCTGTATATATTCTTTACTGCGTCATACTATATATGGATGATATTATGAAATGGTAACGTATATTAATGTGCAAATTATATGAATTTAAGAAATTAGTTGTGCTTTAATTACGTTACTATAATAAATAACAAAGAAAATAATAATAATAATTAAAAAAAAAAAAACAACTAACTTGTATAACCACAAATTAAAATTTAACCAGTTAAGTATTGGCCGATGGATCTGTGCGCAGAGTGTGCGCGCTCTCTGGTGTGTGTCGCGATAATCAAGCGATGTCGGATATAGTCGTCAAACACAGAATAAGTGGGCGTTGTTGTTAAAATATTGGATAGTCAAAAAAGACGATTTTATTTTAGAAAAATAAACAATTTTGTTAGTAATGTAGTACACACAGTTTCTTAATATATGAAGAACATATTATTTATATCATAATAAACAAACAAAAAATTAGATAAACGAATAATCGAATATTTATAAAAGTTCAAAATGTATTCTTGACTTTTTTTTATTTTTTTGTTTTCACCTTTAAACATTTGAAACATATTTAAATTTACGAATATAATTTAGTTWTYGTTACCAAAATGACATTAATTTAAACATCAAATTGTATAAGAAACTTTTACGCATGGACCGGATATATAGACATAATAACAGAAAAATTGTTGTCACATCTTCATGACGGATATAGTCGTCTCAACACGCTTAACTGGTTAATTGTGGATATTTATGTATAATATTATTATTTGGCCATTTATTATTTGATACGTAAACGGATACTTTTCTGTATCTGTTGTGTTATAAAACAAAATCTAACAACAAAAAGAAGCTTTCATTATTAATGTTCCTATAATATATATACATATATATACAGGATGTTTCATAATGAATGTAAAGAAAAGAAAAGAAACACAGTTTATCGAGGAAGTCATTTTAAGGAAAAAAATGTCCTACGAACATAGGTCTTATAATTAAAAGTATCGTGTAATTGTACTAAATCAAGATTACATTGTATGAATTTATTATGGTAGTAATAATAAAAATTTGATATTCTATAAAATAAATCTATAAAATTGGACCTATGTTTAGATTATATTTTTTTCTAAATGATTTATTTATATATGCATATACAGGGTATCATGAGGTAAGTGTTAGGCAGAATAACACTTTAACTAATAATAGTATCTAATAGACAAATGTCTATAAACATTTATTTTTATTATTTATAAAACTTTGAAACTGTATTTTTAAAAGATAATTACGATATTATATATTTTACTGCGCTTCTTGCATAATGCTGCCAACTTCATTTCTAAATAGAAGTATCTCAGTACCGTATAATTTTTGAATATTATTTACAATTTACAGTTACAAAAAGTAATCAAGTTATTTTTTTCTTTTTTTTTTTTTTTTTGTAATTGATACATTTATTTTAAATGTTTTAATATTTTCATATAAAATATTAAAAATATTTCAATACTTTTTATATAAAATAAAATATTTATTTAAGTGACAGATATATATATATCTCAAGATAATCCTGTATATGTATATGTATATGTAATTTCATTTTTATTCATAAAAGAATTTTCTTTAATATACGATACTCATTTTATTTTATTTTATTTTATTTTATTGAGAGAAATAATATTAAATAACGATAACATTAGTGACCACTCCATTAACTGTGATTCTTTATAAATCAAAGTTCTTACATTTCATCCATCAATTTAATCTTTGATCAAAATATTAGTATTATTAATACTTATTCCCATTATTTATAATAAGTGTATTTTAAAACGATTATTAATGATATTTTTTAATATTATTATATTACTTAGAAATACATAATAATCTTATGGAATGTATACCTTAGATGATTTATAACATCATATATTATATTTAATATAATAATAATCTTAATGTGTATACCACAATTTTGTCATAAGTAGTGGAGTGGTTTCCAATGAATCGACTGAAACTCCCTGTGATATGCAGATGTCACTATAATTTCGTAATAAACATTTGTACAACATGTTCAGATAAATTAATTATTTATACGACCTATAATTCAAATTTATCTCTTATTACTTTTACTTTCAGTTTTTTTAATATATGAAATAACTTATAGATTTTTGGCCTTCCCCTCCCCCTGTTAATAGGCAACATTTTGTACATACATGCATGAACGTTAAACTACATATATGTAAGCACATAATAAACAGTATACAATTTTTTTATTATACATATTTATATAAAATATATGACACATAATGCATACATAGACATGCTTGTATAATACAGACCACAGATGAATAACATTTAGGATTTTAAAAGTGTTATTTTTGATGAAGATTTAATGAACTTGATTTTCTTTATTTTTATTCGTCTTATTAAATGATTGTTTCAATTCTTCATGTAGTAGCATAAATTCCTCAGAAATATAACGCAAAATTCTTCGTTCATATTCTTGTCTCTTCACATAAGCAAGTGCTTCCTAAAGTAAACAACAACAGAACATTAATAATAATATATAATAACACATATTTAAATTTTTATCTACATATACATATACAGTGTCATGTAACTATTGGTACAATTAAACAGTGGGTTACATCGAAACAAATTTTATTCTACATTATTGACTTAGTTTTTCATGTAGAGAAACTTCCTGCTCACTTATACCATTAAGTATAAGTTATTAGATAACTTATTGTAATTAGATAAGTTACAAGACATCCTGTATATTATCTTTTATTCATTTTAGATAATAAATAATCATAAGATTACATCACGTGGTACGAAATATTCCATTCTTGTTTTTGGTAATCCAAGATAATATTTTTTATTATTCAACATTGTTTCATCAACTGGATCAAATAATAAATAACTTTCAACTGCTTTTGATGCTGCAGCCAAATTTCCTACTGTATAAAACAATATACATTAAATCATAAATCATATATTATTTTATAATTTATCCTTTATAAAATATTTACGTTTGTAATAAGCAAATTGTAAATAATTGTAATGACTTCTCAATAAGTCATCACGATGTTCTCCATTCACATAATTAAGTAAACGTGAACAACTACGTTTACATTTCAAAGAATAAGTAAAATGATCTAAAAAATAAAACAACATATTATTTTCTAATGTTTTTAATGTTTTAAATGTTGTTTAATGTTTTATATTATTAATGTTCTGTTAAAAATGTAACCCTTTGTATTCTGCACAACTTTCGACATCGGAGTGATAGGTTAGAATCACGATGTCTCATACGGTGTGAGACAGCGGAGTGCAAAGGATTAATATTATATTTCTATTTATTTACTTGCTATTAAAGATGTAAATTCAGGATGCCATCCTTGATCGAAAGGTCCTTCACAATAGATTCTACATTCATTTTCTAAGTTGAAATAATCTCTCAAAGATTGTTCAAACAATTTAATTGATTCCTTATAATTTTCCTTCTCATATTCTGACATACCAGTAACATAAGAATTTAAGAAATGTGACATCTCCAGATTAGAAACATTATCAGCATGTACACCTGGTAAAGTGAGATAATGTCTCAAAGTGTTAACACTGACATTATGGTGAGGGTGCATAACCAAAAAAGTGAAAACTGCATTAGCTGCATCTTGGAAAAGATTTTTCTATGTGCAATTTAAAAAGGATTAGAAGTATACTAAAAATTTATATCTAAATAAAACTATTTTCTATTATAAATATTATAACAATGATTGTAATTATTGAATTACCTGATAATAACATATATGCAAATATTCATAAACATGGTGATCGAGGAATTTCCTTTCTATATCCATTGGTAATCGTTTAAGTTTTTCCTTGTTAGCAATATCCTTGTAATCTTGATTACATCTCATTAAACAAAGTGTTTGACGTATTTTTCTTTCATAAAAATGTAAATCTTCTATATTTTCTGGATAAAATGGTTCCCATCCTTCCGCTTCTATCGCACAATTTTGTCGACATTTTATTATCGTTTTTTTGTAGATTTTATACCTGTGTACATAAAACAATTTTGATAAACAATCATACACAATAATTTAATAAAAGAATTATCACAGAGTTCATTGAATCTGATAGATAAACAAATAGTTAAATATAATAACTATTATTAATAATGTAATCAAATTAAATGTTACAAAGATTAGTAAATAATACAAATATTTTTATCATTATTAAATCCAATAACCTAACTATACTTAACAATGATTAAATAATATTTGTAAAAATATCTACCTTGTTATAAACTGTTAGGTTATTAAATATGAAATGTCTGATTTCTAGATGAAATAAGAATAATCAGACATTTCATAGTTAACCTAAAAATAATCTCTTGAATATGAGTATGACACACTTTATCAATAATATCTTATCAAACGTACCCTTGTATAGCTTCAGTAAATCTTTTAACACACTCATCCCAATCTTCACTTAAATAAGCTTCCACAGCACTCTCGTATAACTCCGATAATGTTAAATTTGTATCTATTGTTTTGAAGGAATCTTCATTTTATATTGAAACATAACCTCTCCTACTTTTCAAAAATTCTTACCAATGTCTACATCAGCGAGTGTCCACGTCAAATAATAAAAAAATATTAATAAAACTGTATAAACTTTCATGTCGTTAAACATAAAATTAATATTATGTAATGTATTAATAATTTCAATTGAATTATCTATTAATAACGATGATTATGGTAATGATGTTGAAAGAAGTAATACAGATTCAAGAAAGGCAATCTGTATTACACTGCTATATGTGTATATATGTTGTATATATATAGTGCTCACCATAGAATGTATTATCACACATATATATCACATATATATATATATTATACATGATGATCTAGACCTATTTATCTTTTTAAAAGATTATATAGCTACAGTATTTCCAAGATATGCGTTTAATTCGTTCATTTATCATATGACAAAATTTGTTTCCTAATATCTTATTGTTCATGGAGTATACAGATTCAAATGAACAACAATTATTGAAGCATTCTCAAAGCATTCTACGGGTCAATATTATATTGAAGTTAAAAATGTTATTTGTGTTATATATTGTTATATATCAGGCCATATATGTATAATAGAATCATCCGATTAAATATAAATCGATGTATACGCGAATGTGTACCTTTAAGTACACTCTGCCTCAATGATGATTCTATTAATGATAACAACATACTACAAATGTTTCCTTTAAATAATTTTGCACAATGATTTTATAAGTTTGTTATAAAAGGCAAGTTCATTTATCTATAACATTGGTTTCCTGATTATGATCAGTGAAACAGAGTATACTCGTGCAGTCATTGATTATTATATTCTCCGATTATAAAAATGAAACTTGTACATAATATTGTGTATTAGATACATGCATATATACAGTGCATATATATGCACACACACACATGTACATTGAATTAAATTATTATTACCATGCTATTTTCTATAAAAGTAATTGTAAGTTTGATTGCAATACATATTTTGTATATATGTATACATATATGTCAATGTATATTTAAATACATTGATACATATGTATACATACGTACATGTTAATTAATGATGAGTATTATTTGTTAAAAAATTATGTTATAAATTAAATGATCGAGCACATGGTAAAGTACAATGATCCTTTCAATAATTTCCATATTCAATAATCCATTAGGGAATAAAATGTGTATGTTAATTAAAAATTTGCAGTGTTTTATCGTTTAATGTTTAAATATCTTATTATATATTGTTAATTTGTATTTCGAAATTTTAATTTTTATATTTTAATATATATATATATATATATTTATACGTAATATAATGGCGCGCTTTACGATCACAGATTTTACGAATTATTTTTTTTTCACTACCATACAATAGAAGAATTATAAAGTTTCTATAAATCTAAGTTTCTTTTTTTTTTTGTTACTCTTTTCTTTTCTTTTTTTTTTTTTTTTTAAATAGTATTACCCAACAAACACTTCATTAACTTAAATAAAAAAAATTCAAAATTCATGGGATTATTCTTGAAGGTACCTTTTTTCTCTTTTTTTCATTTTCGTTTATTTTGATCTTATTTTTGTTTTGTTTTATTTTTTTCTTTTTGTTTATTAAGCGTATGGCGGGGACAAAACTATTCTAAGATGTCAGTAATTTACTTCTTTGTAAATAATTATTTAATGGAAGCGTATAACTTTCGACACAAATATTGTTTGTTTGTTTTGTTTGTTAAAATCGTAACTAGCAATGAGCTGAATTTAACAAATTTCACTTGGACAATGATATAGCAAGAGAATATTTAAGAGTATTATCACACAGATATCTTAAATGACGTATAGAGACTTATACATGATACATAATACTTTAACAGTTACGACAAATGGCTCACTTTCTTTCTTTCTTTCTTTCATTCTTTTTTTTTTTTTCATCTTTTTCCAAATTTCATTTTCATCATCATCACATCAAAAACACGAACTAGAGATTTTGGTTTATATCCTTATTTTTTTTTTCCTTTTCCTTTTTCTTTTTTTGAATAAGCATTATTGATTATAATCAAGTAATGATGCTTTCGCTACTAAATTTGATAATGAACCTATTTCTAAAAAAAAATCAGTTTCTTTTTTTTTGTTTTTGTTTTTTTTTGTTTTGTTTCAAAGTAAACCATTATTACACGCACACATAATTAGATATTTTTCTTTTCACTTAAAAACTCACTGTTCTCATCACACGAACGTATTGAATCATCATCATGAGTAGTCAAATTCTCGGAATTATTATCCTTATATTTTTTAAATATTTTTCGACACTCTTCAGTGTTATCTACACTATTCTTATTAGAAGTTGATTGTTCAGGAGCACCCAAATGAAATGACGTTAATTTTAATTCTGTTTCATTACGTTTCAATTGTTTTTGATCTAACGTCAATGGAGATACACCAGCAGCACCATGAGTTGTTGTTGTTGTTGTTACCAGAGTACTCGATGATTCGTTTTGATGAACAATGTCCTTTTTTATCGATTCGTTATTTCGTGATTCTAAATTACTAACACTTATTTCGTTGGGATAAACACTACGGGATTCATTATTATAAGCTACATTTTTATCTTTTAATAATATTCGATCATTACATGCATCATTTTTATCATCATTTTTATCATCATCATCATCATTATCATCATCATTTTTCTCCACAGGCACCACTTCTTTAGATGTATAATCATCGCTCTTAGTTCCAGTTGGTGAATCTTTTTCTTCAGCTATTCTCGGTAATTGTGTACTACCGCATGCATTAGAAATACCAACGTTAGCGATATTAATCGAAATTCCGTGTGTCAATTTTGGATAATCTACTACCACATTTTTTTGTTCTCCGCACACTTTTTTCTCTCCTTTAATATCACTAATAATATCTTTATTCATATCACCTGACTCTTCAAAACTTTCAACGTGAGACGACGTTTGAGCGATTGTCACACGCGGTGTTACTTTAACAACGCTATTTGCTAAGGGAGATATCGATGTTTTGTTTTCAGCTGAACGAGGATGTAATCTATCAGGGCTGAGAGCTCTTCTTAAAAGTGGTGACCCTGGTTCCGCTGATTTTGGACGTCCATATCCTTTTTTCTGGCTATTAGGTGCTGACAAACATACACCTAAGTAATAGAAATAAATTCAACAAGTTATTATATCTAAAAATTTATAACAAAAGTATATAAAATGAATTTGTCGTAATACCTGGGCTATATGATTGCGTAGTATTCGAACTACCAGGTTGATGTCCAGTAGGAAATGCTAAAGGACTTGGACTTCTCGTTGGACTAGCAGGAAGTGGCGAAGGACTGGGTGTTCTAGCTAATGGAGATAAAGGTATATGTCCTACAGACTTTCTACGATTTGAAGAATGAATATTCTTTGCAGCAGTATGTAATTTATGTTTTAAACCGTGCAAAGTACTTGGTCTTTGATAATGCGATTGATTAGACAAATTTCCAATAGAAATATTAGAACCTGGTGAAGAGGAATTAGGACTTGAACATGGAGTTGAATTTCCTGTTGAATGATAGGACTCTGAATTGGTACGATTTGCTGGTGGTGAAGGACTGCAGACGGATTTTGTACATGCACCATAATGAGGTGTAATATCTTGTGAGCGTGTAAAGGATTGAAAAGATCGACTAGGGGTCACCATAGAAGGTGAACAAATTCCTGCAGCCATCTGAAATTAATGTAGACATATTGAAAATGTATAATATCATATTAATAATATATTTTGCCTTATTCTTGTTTAAAAGCGTAGTAGTAAGTATGTGTATTGGTTGCGCGCATTTCTGTAAAATCTACGCATATGTTAATCAAAATCAATTTATCTGTATATATCAATATTGTGTTGTAAAAAAGCTTTGGTATAAATATGAATTAAACAATGAATAACATATATTTAACTGAATAAAAAAGAAAAATAAATAAAACCAATTGCCGGAAGGTATAGAAAGCTAAAAAATGTATAAAAGAAATCATACCATAAGTGGAGGTTTGTTGTCACTGGACAGAATGGGTGCTGACAATGGACAATTGATACTTAATGGCTGCAATAAAACATAAAATGCACTTAACGTAACGAGTGTGTTGTAGGCTTGTATTATGTCGTTTGGCTTTTATTTCTCTGGCACGTGTGTGTGCAAACAAATATGCAGTGAAAATTAAGCGTTATGCCATTATTAAAAAAAAATATATCTTAATGTTTTAATGTGAAACATAAAAGTATTGCAAGTTTATATGTATAATAATAATAATTAGACATAATGAAGAAAAAATAAATGATAACCCTCATGTATACCTGTTGCATTTCTACACTAGCACGTTTTGAACTTATTCGTTTAAAGAGAGACGTTTTTCGTTTCTTGTCAGAAAGCTCTCGTTTTTGTTTCCTTTGTTTATGAAAAGTTCTGCGCGCCATTTTACTCTGCGTAAGATCTCTTTTTCTACCGCCAGATTTAATACTGGTATTTTCTAAAGGTGTACTACGTAAAGTAACATGGTCACCGCTACTCAGCATTAATTGGAGAACTTGAGTGTGATATAACCCTTGTACAGGTTCTCCATTTATATGCGTTATTAGATCTCCTGGCCTTAAACCAGCTTCAAACGCTGGGCTCGATTGATCAACGGCCTACATTTGGATATATATTTTCATATTTATCAATTTTTCAATTGCATGGACAAATTTGAAATAATATTATCTTCTGAACGTACCATTACTAAATGATGCATAGTGTAAAAATCACTGTCACCATAATATACTCTGATGGTATGCACAGTGAAACCAAACCCACATGGTCCTCTTCTTATAATGATGGGTGGTTTTAAACTGGTTACAAGAGGACTTAATTCTCGACATGGAGATGTGTCTCTTGAAGAAGCAGTAGAAGATCCACCAGGTGATTCGATAGATTGATTACTGACTATAGAGTCATCTAAAAGTTTAAATAATATTAATTAACAAATATTATATAATTAATTATTTTAAAATGTTTAAAAAGACAACTATATGAAAATCATTATTTAGATAGATACATACAAGTAAATTCACTGGTTGGTATTACCAGTGATAAACCACTAGTTGATGCAGACTTAATAACAGACCTTGACTTAGATTTATTTGTTGGTAAAATGGGAACTGCACTATAAGATTCAAAGGAATCAGTACTGGAATTATGTTTATCTTCCAGGATTTCCTTATTCGCTGCTGTTAAATCCAATCTATAAATACATAACATAACATAAGTAATTAATTTATATTTAACATCAAATAATGATGATGAAAAGAGATGTAGGAAATTGGATAAGTGATTGCTGATTGATATTCAACATTTAATAATATTAAATAATTATTGAAAATAAAATAATATAAGGAAATAATTATAATCAAATAAAATGGCATAAAAAAAAATATAAAAATTAGGGAAGGAGAGACTATTAATTTATGTGTATATTGGCAAGGATATAGGTCAATGACTCACATGTGCTCATCATCAATAGGAATACTGAACCTGGGCAGCTTATCACGAGCATGTGTGTGACGTTTCCTCTGTATCTGTGGACTGATATCTTCAGATTCTGTTTGTGAAGAATCCGGAGTACTCAAATTAACAAAAGTATTTTCTGATTGAATATTTTTAACCACAGTCAATTGAGATTCGGTAGTACCACTAGAAATAGAACCAATAGATGATATGTTTGATTTTGTAGGCCTATTTGGATTTTCAATACATGGAGCTGTCTTCATTGAAAGTAACGCTCGATTTTTCTCGGAATTTTGACTTGTATCTAAGAGTTTAGACGTAGTAGTAACAGTTGAAGTAACGCTTGTATTTGATGCAATAGAAAGTTGTGAAACTGTGTTTTCTAATTCAGTATGGAATGGTTGCTTCTTAGAATCCGTTTCTGGTTCTGTATTCGTTTGTTGTGGACGGCTTTGAGAAATTTTTCTTGATTGTGGAGAATATGAAGAAAATGATCCAAATAAAGGTGAATCATCAGTGTCATCTGTATCATCACCTATATCATGATTATATCTATCCATACGAGCTATAAAAATGATTTAAAATAATTTATGTGTGTTCAAATATATATATATAAAGCAATTTAACAACGTCATGTGAAATACTTTAGACATCTTACTATCAAAGTAACTCGTATCCTCGTCATCAACTAATTGTGGTACAAATTCAGCTTTTTGTCTAAGAAGACTATTCCAATTAACACCATAAAAATAAGGATGATCTTTAACTTCATGTGGACCACCAGTTCCTAATCGATCTCTAGCACTTTGTTGTAATAATGCAGTGATGATATCCTTAGCTTCAGGATGAACTGGCCAATCATTTTCATCTGGCCATTCTATGTCATCTAAAAATAATATATAACAATATTAATATATGTAAGACCAATGTTATTATTTACAAGTATCAATATTAACCATTAACAGTATGAGCAAACAGTTCCTCAGGTGTTTCACCAAAGAAAGGAACACAACCAATAAGAAATTCATAAAGTATAATTCCCATGGACCACCAATCAACAGGTTTTCCATATCCTTGTCTTAATATAACTTCTGGTGCAATATATTCAGGTGTGCCAAATACTTGTTTATCAGAAAATTGTCGAGTATCTCTATCTATATATCCTTCATACAGATTTGTTGCCACTACAAAATTAAATATATGCATTAAATTATTGCGAAAATATATATACTTATATTAAAACACATTTACTTACGAGACATAAGTCCCATTTTGCTAAGACCAAAGTCTGTAAGTTTAATGTGACCCAATGCTGTAATAAGTAAACTATAACATATGAAATTTTAATTAGTAAATATAAAATCATTAAATATATTACTATTTATATATACATCAAAGTTTATATAATATAAATAACCATACTTGTCAGGTTTTAAATCCCTATGAACAATACCATAATTATGTAGGTATTCTACAGCTAAAACAGTCTCTGCAAAATAAAACCTTGCCATATCTGATGGTAATGGACCAATATTTTTTAAAAGATTCGCACAATCTCCACCCTCAACATATTCCATTACAAGACATAAATGTTTCTGAAATAAACATTTGTATATCACTTATTAATTATAAAAATAATATTGTAACAATAGTTAAATATTGCATAATATTTAATATTAAAATAAATAGTCTACCTTAGTTTCAAAACTACAATACATAGATACCACAAAAGGATTATCTGTAAAACTCATGATATCTCTTTCAGCAAATACTTGTTCAACTTGATTACGGAGCATTAAATTATTTTTATTAATTTTCTTCATTGCAAATCTTTGTCTGGTTGTCTTTTCTTTAACTAAGTACACTGCTCCATATGCCCCATTACTAATAAGTTTGAGTACCTCATAATCACTTTCACAAGGAATACGTTGAGATTTGTCTTCATCTTTGTTAGGACTCGACGTTAATTGTAAGTTACTATCACTAGAACTTGCAGAATCTTCCAACTTGTTCAAATCTTCTTGTAATTCTGTAAAAATATTATAATAAAAAGTATAATAATTATTTGTTCATTCAAGATACAAATTTAATATACATATGAAGTCATTTATGTATGTACCAGTTATTGGATCTCTATTCAAAGAAAGCTTATGGATAATATACTGAGGAATATCAGTTTTAACTCCTGCATTAAATTTAGCTTGACCCTCTGCTTGTTCAAGCAAATGATAAAATTCTTCTGGATCAAATTCTAAACATTCTAATAATCGTGCAGGACGTGAGATCACTAATAAAAGTTTTTTAATTAAACCAGTCAATCGTGTTGCAGCTTCTAATGATTTTTCCTTCGTCTATATAAAGATAAAATTTATTATTAACAATCATCAATTGTTTAAATAAATAATTCATCTTTACATTGTAAAATAATATAAACTTACATCCATCAATAGATGTTCCAAATTTTCGCTCATTTCATAAAAATATCTTGTCGTGATCAATTTCTCTTGTGACTTTTGTAAACAATCTCTTGCCATTTCAATCACTTGATGATGAACAAAACGTAAAATTGGTAAAGAATCTGGAGTCATGTGTGCCTTTACTTCACGTTCATCGATTTCTTTGTTTTCATTAATAAAATTTGTCAAACGTTCTTCCATTTGTTGTGTAGCCTAATTAAAATATATTATTTAATTACATGATTTTATTTTAATTATTTTTTATATTATATATATTACTTATTGTATAAATCATACTTTTGGAAATCGTTCCTTGTACAAAGTATTCATCATGACAATTTCACTATCAAGAACAGGTGACCGACTCGGACTACTGTAATTTCAAAAATATTATTTTATTAATAATATATATATATTTTTTGTAAATCAAACAACATGTTATAATTGTATGTATATATTGAAATTAAATTTTAGGAATTATATTTGTCATGGAGTTTGTACCTTAAGCTTCGTGACCGTGGTCGATGTAATGGCGATTTACGACCTTCTTCATCAAGACTACCAGAAATGGTAGAACCAGGAAAACCTGGATGCGATGAACATGGTGTTCCAGGTTTAGAAAAGTGGCAGGATAACATGCGTAATTCATCTTTAGTTGGAATATTTGGTAATTGATGTAAACGTTCTTGACTCGAACATTGTGACTAAAAGAAAACATATATAATATGTTTATATAATTTATATGAATAATACAAATACATATATTTTCAATGAATGTTTAGTATATAAAAATACGTACAGAAACATTACTTGAACCAGGTGTTGTTCCATAACCGCTAGACGGTAAACTTGCAACTGACCATCTTCTACCATCACCAGTCCCTGTAGCACCCCCAATCCTAAAGTATAATTATCTTTGTATTACTATTTAATATGCAAAACCTAATTTATAGTATATTAATAGTCTGTTAATAAATATAAAAGTATATATTATTAAATAACACAATAACTATGCAATAAACTAATCAATTTATTGAATTCTATTGAAAGAACTGAATTATATACCTTTTAACAGGAGCAAAAGCAAAATGTGGACTGGATGACATCCTAGGACTTTCTAGAGGACTGCCTACAATTGGGATGAAAGCTGTATTTGGAAATAATGAGAGAAAATTAATTGACTATCTTCTAAAAACAATATAATTACAAAAATATACAAAGGAGAAAATATAAAATATTATTATATTTATTTATTTCATCTATTCTACAAATAATAATAATAAAATATTCTATAACTATAATTCTATAAAAAGAAAAACAAAATATATAGATTCTTTTATTTTAAAGAAATCTTTCATCAAAGCAATATTTTGAATTAGGAGAAAATATTGAATGTAAAAACCTAATGCTTAACATACCCGATAAAGGTGAATGACAACGTGGTAGAGTAGGTGATGTTGTAGCAATGAATGATTTACGATGAGCTGCTTTAGCAGATCGACGAGGAATGTTTGGATCACGCTATGTAAAAAAAAAAATAAAGATTGCATTAGATTAAATACAGATCTAACTGAATAATAATAAAAATAATAAGATGACTAACCATGTGAACTGACAAAGAAGGGGCTGATTTCCCAATAGCTGAATTCCGCATACGAACTAAATTTGATAATTCTCCGCTAACTATAAAATGTTAGTAACATTAATATAATCAATTAAAAATTGTCAATATTAATAAAGATTATATAAGAAAATAATAATTAACCTGGCCGAACAGGAGCCTCTTTACTTTCAACTTTAGATATTATTGTAGTAGAACGATTAGGTGTTTGTTCCGTACTACAATTTGTTTCATTTGGATCCATTTGATCAAATACAAGAACTCGTGCAGAATTACCGTGTGACCGTAAACGTGGTCTACTTGGTCTATTTCTACTTTGTTCCATATTTGTAAGTTAAATTTTCATTTATTTAATTGTAGACATTTAACTGTAAACAAAGAAGAACTTTTTAATAATATCACAGAGTATCAAAATAAGAAAGACAACAAAATAATAGAAAATAAACGTATTATTGTTAAATCAATACAAAGTTATATATTTTATATATTTATAAATTTGTTTCATTCTTTTTCAATTACATTTCAATATTATCAATCAATACAAAAATTATGCGCGAAATTAAACGATTTACTAACTAATTTCTTTTTAATAAATAATATATATATATATATATATATATTATTAAACACTTGATTATTGAAAACAATGATAATTTAAAACATTGAATAAAAATATGCAAGAGTAAAAGAATGACAAACGATAAATAATACAAAATTAGATATTCATTTAATGAAAATTATATACAATTCTATAAAAGAATACTAATTTGTCATTGACATAGTACAATGTTAACACATTGAACACGTAAGTTATTTTCCGACGTATAGAACAAGTACACGATATATACATAAATGGTTGCAATCAACAACAACGATCGTTAACATAAAAAAATTACTGTATTATTTGAGATAGGGGTATTTGTAATATGTGTGTGGATGTGTGTGTATGTGTATCTATATGTGTATATAACTTTATGAAAAAAAATCTATAATAGAAGAAAGTTGAAGATTGAAAATGTATACTAATAAAAAGTGACACGAAGAATATTAGTGAAATGATAGGAAAGAGTGAATGTAATTAAAGATAAAATCGTTGTAAATTTTGATTACCGGGAAGAAAGAATCATCCTTGTGGAAACAGCAATCCATAAGAAGATTAAGAAGGTGTTGATAGTTGTGAGACTAGATTTGCATTATTCTTCTTGACGAAAACATTAAACAAGAAATATGAAAGAACCGTAAATTTTGATTCATGATGGACGTATACAGAGAGCTTTACTCGTGCACGCGCAAATACACGCATCCATGGCCGCACTGTATGACACTTTACGATTGTATATAGTACAAGCATACTCTGTTCGTTTCTTGATGTTTGTCCTATACTTCCCTCTGTCGGACGCCATGTTGTGAAAAGTTACAACTACGTCAGGTGTTAAAACTAATTTTTAACTATATCTATTAATAGTAAAGATTTTATTATTTATTTATATATTATTTTATTTATTTCTATTATATTTATATATTATATACTTATTTTTTTTTGCAAATAATTCGTTAGATTTATTTTAATAAAATTTTTTTAATATACTAAATATATTATTCGTTTGATTTAATCATTTGTATGCATTTACTTATATACGTACATTTGTATTCACCTATATCCTAACCATTTATACTCGAGGTCAGATCTGTTTCTATATGTGTAGTACGTACATAGAAATAGAAAATTGACTATATTTGAGAAAAAATAATAGATAAGTGTATAACCATTACTCATGATAAATATGTATAATATTAATTTATCATAAATTTTACCTATTGATAAGTTTCTTTCTATTTTACTTAAGTAAATATTTACTAATAAAAGTTGCACACTGTTTTTCTTCTTCTTGGTTGATACATGTTTGAATATTTGTCAATCGATAATATTTCAATCATTAATTATTATTCGCCAAAAATATCTAAAGTATTAAGATGATACGATGTTTGAAATAAGATGTTTTTCTTTTTATCTTCACACCATTTGTTTTAAAACATAACAGATTTTGTTTCGAATTAATGATATAAATATAAATCGTTTTATTTAAATAGATCTATTTTTATCATTTTAAATAGATCATTAACGTTAACGCAATACAGATTTAAAGTATATATCTTATGAGTTATTATTACAATAGTAATACACAATATATATGCAAATATAAACAACATATATATATATACTTTTTATACAAATGAAGTATGTAGGTAAGGTAGAAAACTTGTTAATTTATTCATTTTTAAATGTCACTTTCTGCCTTATCGACTGTCACTAAAAATGTGCAGTGGCGCTGATATTAGGAACAATAAAAACTAAGAATTATTAATATTATTATATTAATTTCAAGTTGAATAAATATAAAAGCAACGTAATATTTAGATACTATGTAGTTTCAAATAAAATTGGTAGTGTGGACCATTTATGTAATTTTTTATTAATGAGATTGATTATTCAAGTTTATCCATATAAAGGTTATTTTTTCTTACAAATTTATTTAATAATAAAACATTTGAATTTATTTAAAAAAAAAAGATTTATACATGTAAGTAATTTCTAATATAACTGTAAATATTAATATGTAGTAATATTGTTCATGAATTTATATACAACATATGTTACATGAATATTGTGGAAACAATTATTTCATAATTTACATAATCTCTTTTTCTCTGCAATTATTTTGTTTATATTTAAAGAAAAATAAGATGTCATCTATATTTAAATTTAAGATATAAGAATAATTTTGTTTATTTTTACAGTAAAATATTTCAATATGCTTTGGATACAAAAAGCAATGCAACTTCGGTGCATTCAATTTTGTAAAGTCAAATCTATGATTTGTATAATTTCAAGTCGTCAATCTAGCAGGTATTCTAAAATTTGTACATTACGTACAGAGGTATCTTTGAAACAATTCAAAAATATTAATTATCAAAAGATATGTGATTTTCATACAACATCTAAATTATACGTACCACCAATTTTTGCTGTCATTTTACGTCCAATTTTGAGATTAGGTGCTTTTTTACTTGGACGTGGTATTAAACAATGGTGGAAACGAAAATCTACTGAAGAGAAAGAACAATATAAAATGTTGTTTAAAGAAAATAGAAACATGTTTTTAGGTAAATGAATTCTATTTAAAAAAATATTAATATTAATATTATATAGATCAATTTCTTATTTATAATGTTTCTAGGATCGTTGAGTTTATTATGTTTTATGTTTATTTTATATTATTTAACACACCTTGAAACTGATCCAATAACTAAACGAAAGAGATTTATAATATTTAATAAAAGGGAACAAGCAGCATTAGGCAAATTAATTCTTGAATTGGTGAGATTCATATATATCTCTTATTATATTAGTTTAATTGTAAACGTAATTAACAAGATATTTTATACTGAAACTGTATTAGTATGTTATTAATTTTTTTAGCATTTAGAAGAACATAGGGCATCATTGGTACCATACAATCATCCTGCATATAAAAGATTAATAACAATTATACAAAATATATTGAACAAAAATAAAGATTTGAGTGGTGTTGATAAAACAGAATGGACATTAAGTGTCATTGATTCTCCTATTAGAAATGCATATGTCTTACCTGCACGTATCAAAGAAAAAGAAAAAAAAAAAAATAGTCTAATATTTCAATTAAATATTCGAATGATTTTAAAGTCAATTATTTTTAGGGAAAAAATATATTCTTCTATTTGGGTGTTTTGGATATTATTGATAATGATGATCAATTAAGTATTATACTTGCCCATGAAATGGCACATGAATTGTTATTACATTCGGTAATTAATAAGAAAAATAAACAATTTCTAATTTTAATGTCATCATTAGAAATTTTCCAAATATAATAATTAATATTGTTTTTTAATTGTATAACCAGGTTGAACAATTTTCACATGCTTTATTAGTAGACGTCATAATGGTAATTCCTATTTTATTACTTTGGGCATGTTTTCCTGATGTATTAGCATTTCTTTTGCAACTGATTGGACAACATATTATAGATCTTTTACATAATTTACCATTTAGTAGAGCATTGGAAAATGAAGCTGATCTTGTGGGATTAGGTTTAGCTGCAAGAGTAAGTCACATATTGTTATAGACCAGGAGGGGATCGGCAA